AAGAGCTCCTGGATGACGTTGGACAGACGTCGGGGCAGCTTCAAGTGTCCCGGTTTAGTGCTTCTCCCGTGTATGGTCCGGATTACAACCTTACGGTGGTGTTCCCGCTATTTGGCCTTGCAGGCGCAGCTTTTGGTGGTGGTCATCTGTCCGTTTGGAACCAATCTTTTCCAACACCAGCCGAAAAATGGATATGGCGGATCGCGGGTATCGTTGCCGCAGCAACACCTCTAGCATTCGGTGTTATGTCTTTAATGAGCCAAATGACAAGTAAAGATAAGAAAGCTAAGGGAGACGAGAGACGAAAGACGGGCGGAGGACAGGAGACGGGCGGAGGACAGGAGACGGGCGAAGGACAGAAGACGGGCGGGGGACAGAAGATGGGCGAAGGACAGAAGACGGGAATTTTCGTGAAGGTCATGGATATTGCCACAGTTGTGGTTATGGCCATTCTTGTTCCCTTATATACGTTGGCACGGTTGATGATGATCTTGCTTATGTTCACGACGCTCCGTGATCTCCCTATCAAAGTATTGAAGGACTTGTGATCCATAGTACTGTATCCAGTTGTTAGGTACCACGATGGAGAGGATGATCATTGGCATCAGGACTTTCACGTTCTTATACCCGAAAATGACAGCTGATTCTCACGCATCAAACACAATGACCATCCGCCTCTGCAAAAATGGGCGTGTCTGCATACTTTTTGAAGATCGGAACAAAAATACCGACTGACGTTAAATGTACTATCTATTTGTTCTGGGCGAATAAATGAATGAGGCATTGATTACTCGACGCTAAACTACAACACAAAGGAACATATTATAGTACGGGAAGCTTAATTAGAGCCTGCCAGAAACACAATTTCACTGACTCACTTTCGTCAAAGCACCATAATTGATTCTCGCTATCCGATTTTCCCAAAACCTCAGCAAATCCGGCTCGAGATTCAGGGACAGAACCACGACTAGAGAGGTCAATACACCCTCTAGCCCCTGGTGCGGGGGCCTTGAGCTCTGGCATGGAAATCTTGACCTCCAGCATGGAAATCCTGACTTCCGGAAAAGAGCCCCTGACATCTGGCATGAGGATCTTGACCTCCGGCCCGGGCATAGAAATCCGGACCTCGGGCATGGTAACTCTGACCTCTAGCACAGAAATTCTGTTGGCTCCACCATATACAGCCGACGTGTTGACTGCATCAAACGCACCTGAACTTACAATCTGATTCATGCCAGATATACCACTTGTATGGCTCTGTGGGACAAATAACCCTGGTTCCATCGCCCGGATCTTCTACTGAAATATAGAGGTTTGAGGCGACATTTATCAAGGTCCATCCTTGACTATCCTGGTGAAGGTCCCACTGACGGATGTATTGATAATGTCCTCACAAAGAACAAATGCATCTACCTTCTGGTTATTTCCTCCAAGGAACTCCCAGCAAACGACTATAAAAGTAGATACCACATTTATCAACCCTCCTGGAGAGACAATGACAAGAATAGCAATGTACCCGAACTTTGGTGATCAACACTTTCAAAAGCTAGAACATGGTCAGTATTCTTGATGTTGGTGATCTTGTATGTTGAACTGGAAATGGTGAAATGCCCTGAGAACCACATGACTCAAGCGCTCGTCGCTCACGTGACGATAGTCGCTAGGTTGGTCCGAAGGCATGATCTCAGA